TGAAGTAAGAGGAACCAGGACGGGTCAATCTTTCAATTTGATTTTTGGATGTTAGAACTGAATCTCTCTTCTCTATTTGTTTCACCTCACTATAGAAGGTCATAAACGCATCCTCTGTGCCGCCTCCGCCGCCCGAAGCCCCGCTCTCCCCAGAAGCCGCCATTTCCCTAGCCTAGCCGCTGCCTCACGTGCCTTCAACTTCTTAATATAAATGCAGTTCCCAGTCATTAGCCATAGTGGTATAGCTCATTCCAAGCACTTTATCCAAATAGTCATGAAAAATGAATGAAAACTTTCACCAAAGGATTAGGACCTTGTTGATGTTAAGTGCTATTGAGTCGCTTCTGTCTCATAACGACCCTGTATGGGGTCTCTGAGGAGTGGCTGGTGGGCTTAAACAGACAACATTGTGGTTAGCAATCCAGTGCTTATCCTACAGCACCACACCAGTATTCAAATTAAGTCCTCAGCTCCAAAGATATTTTTTAAAATTGGAAAAATAAATATTCTTAAAGAAGTTTAAAGAAAAAAGGTAGACAATATAACCATTTAAAAATCAAGAATATTTGCATATTGCCAGGCTGGTCCAGCTCAAGTGAATTTTGAATCCCTTTTATACTTTCTGTCTTGAGCGAGTGCGTGGAGGGCTGAGCTGTTTTCAATAATGACTGATGTTTTTCCGAAACATGCAACAAGGTCATGTTACAAATCCTTGAAGATGTTCAGCTGGTTCATAATATGTCCAGACACACATAGTACTGTCAGATCTGCTCTCGAAAAGGAACCTGAAAAACAAGAATCATTGGCTTTTAACAAGTTCAGAACTAGGAAAATGAGAATACTTACGGCTTAAGATATTATCTAGACAGCCAATGGTGTACACATAATTAGGTGCCAAGAGGAAACAGAAATGAAGTAGAAGTAATGGTCTTGCCTACAAAGAGTTTAGTATTAAATGGGAAAGTCAGATCAAGAAAAACAAGTAAATATACATAGAGAGGAGTGGGGAGAAGACAGAGACAGAGGACAGAGAGAGAAAGAGAAAGCAGTAAGCACAATTCACCAAAAACAAGCAGTTAAATATGCATTCATGTTATTGTAATAAACAATCAAGTAGGGCAGCGCCAACCAATGAAGACGTGCACAGAAATGCTGGCTGAGTTACTGCAATGACTGAACCAGTTACCATTACTCCTAGGGTATGTTTTTAACACCGTGTTTTAAGGGAAGAAAAGGAGTGTTGTTTGACCAGTGCAGCAAAACTTTGAGAACTGAAAGATGATGTTTCAAATGGTGGGCTAACAACACTAT